ACACCAATTTTACCAAACCAATAAAATGATTATTCCAGAAATATAAATGACAGAGCCGATTATAGATTTAAGCTTACAATTTTCATGTCCTGCAAGGAGAATAATAAATTAAAATTCTAACTCAAACGGTCGCCGAAACTACTTAAAAACTTAAACATACATTGTTATCTCGTTCTTCAATTTCTTCGAATTATCATCACCTTCAATTTCACGGTTATCTTCATAATTTAATAATCCTCATCATCAGAAAGCTCCGTCATTGTTGATTTTGTGTGACCTCTGACCTATTACTCTGTAATAAATGTCATGAATTATCGTGAAATCGGATTATAGTGAAATTTGGATCTATTTTGCGTACGATTTTTAAATTTTTTTGGGGCCTTTTTGTCGGCTTTTTTTGTATAGTTAAGTTAGGATTTAGGGTTGGAATTTTTAATAAAAGAATATAGGTGTATTTTGGTAGGGTTATATTTTCAAATTGAGGCCCCAAATTTTACGATGATCCGATTTCACGACAATAAATATACCGGGTATACGATAAACCCTATATATAAAGGTTGGACCGTGTATAGGAACTTTAGAAACACCAAGTATATAAATATATAACCATAAACTAATATAAAGTAATATTACAGTATTACCCGACGCTTAACTTGTGAATTTAACGAACTATGTACATCTGCTGAATATCAAAGCGGACTTCAGTCTAAGAATTATATGGGAGGTCAAAAGTAGAAACCACCGAATTTATTTTTAAGTAAATTTTTTTCAGACTTTAAATTAAAATATCTCAACAACTATTAAACCAAACTTGACAAATATTTTTTTATTTTAATTCTATATAGTTATAGAATTAAAATAAAAAAAAGTTTGTCAAGTTTGGTTTAATAGTTGTTGAGATATTTTAATTTAAAGTTTGGAAAAAATTTACTTAGAAATAAATTCGGTGGTTTCTACTTTTGACCTCCCATATTAACATTAAGAAACAATGGTTTTAAAATTAGCTATTCATACATATCATCATCTTTTTCTACCAAATTTTCCAATCTTGAACATATTCTCCATCCTGTTGAAGTAAAGAAATATTAAAATACAGTATTACTTTTTGCGAAATAACAAACACTATCCTCTTCACTCACAATAAAGTTTAAATACACACATCAAATTTTTTTTGTATGAGAGAATATTTTCCTCGAAACCCTTCGTTATGTGAAGTATGCTCGATTGCTTTTTTGAGAATTCTGCTGTTTTGTTAATGCACGCTTCGAATTGATGGATAGATAATTCTTAAAAAAATGCAAGAGGAGTAGAGGTTGAAAAATTTATCATTCAACGGATATTCTCTTGTTCTCGAACATTTAATCCAGCGTACTTTATTGTAAGAAATCTTTGAAAAAAAAAGTATATAGTTAAATATGTGCTAAAATAAATCTGTGCGACACGCAGTCTTCACTCCGGGCCGGCCAACTTAGTTTTGTTGACTCGCCAAAATTTAACTCCGCCAAAATCTGGCATCCGACAGAACAAAAAAAAAAGTCTGCCGCAGTCGCCCTTTGTTCGTAACAGAAATATTAATTTAATAAGTCCTTCCTTATATTAAATTGTGCTAAAAGTATATCAATTACAAATAGCATATGAGTTGCCCAGCTTCACTCAGAGCAGGTCACCTAATATGGCTTCCCAAAAAACAGTGAATGGTTTCGACAGAACTCGATTGCTCAATCACAGTCGCCTTTGTGATGGACGGACAACTATAATAAATCTGTGTGATAAAATATATCAATTACAAATAGCATATGAGTTGCCCAGCTTCACTCAGAGCAGGTCACCTAATATGGCTTCCCAAAAAACAGTGATTGGTTTCGACAGAACATCAATTGCTCACTCACAGTCGCCTTTGTGATGGACGGGCAACCCTAATAAATCTGTGCGACACGCCGGAGCCGTCCATAAATTTGACTTCTGCTAAAATCTGGCTTCCGACAGAACAAAAGTCTGTCGCTGTCACCCTTTGTTCGTAATGTTCTTGACGGCTTATAAGCAACAGATACGTCGTGCTAATTTTTAGAGTTCCTCGAGTTGATGGATAGATAATCCTTAAAAATGCAAGAGACATAGGCAGTGTGCATAATTCAATGTTCTCAATGTTCTCTGAGAGCATAAAAATTTTATGTTACACTTATGTGAGAACATAAAAAATCTCAAAATCTATTTTATAAATGTTCTTGTGAGAACATGAAATGAAATTTGAATTTCACTCACTGAACGTAGGGTTTGAAAATTTATCATCCAATGGATATTCTTTTGTTCTCGACCATTTGATCCAGGGTATTTTATTGTAAGAAATCTCAGCAGAAAAAAAAAGTATATAGTTAAATATGTGCTAAAACAAATATATATCAATTACAAATAGCATACGAAATGCCCAGCTTTCACTCAGAGCCGGCCACTTAACATGGCTTCCCAAAAAAACAGTCACAAAGTCTTCACTCCGGCCAACTTAACTTTGTTGACTCGCCAAAATTTGGCTTCCGACAAAACAAAAGCTGCCGCAGTCACCTTGACGGTTTATAAGCAACTAGGGTTGGGGCACGGGAAAATTTTCGGGCATGCCCCATGGGCATGCCTCTGGTTTTTTTGATTTAGAGGCATGCCCTATAGGC